TAATATTTTGTATATCACAAGATCTTGCATAGCTGTGTGTTACTGTTTTTATGACCTTTTATGATTCACATATTATTTTTAATTGAAAAGGTTATAAAAAATATCAAACAATTCACTTCTCTAGGCGTTGAACTCATCCTAGGACGGATTCGTGTTCAATTTGGATGAAATTAGAAAAAAACTTCAAAATATGAAGAACAAATCAAGAACAAATTTCTTGTCCAAAAAAAAGACAAACTATTTGGTGCAGATCTTGGAAGGTAATGAAACTAGTCAAGAAAAATGGTTTGTTACTGTTCACTAAGCCTACCAAATTTTCTTTTTAAGGTCTCAAGGATCTCAAAACAAGAAGGGTTTATTGGAGGAATAAAAAACGTTCCTCAGTGGTTATACCATTTGACGGAATCCCGTTTATCTACGTTGCCGAAAAGCGGCTTCAGTGCCAACACGGCAAAGGTAGAAACAAAGAGAAGGTATGGAAAACGCTACTCAGCTTACAGTAGTAAAATGAGTCAAAGTATATTATGAAATGTGAATTTTATGCAGAAGCAAGATTACTGCCCAGTCGTCATCGTAGAGGAACAAGTGCTAAAGTTTCCACAGTTCAAGGTAAAGATATTGCTCAGAATGTCGACTTATAGACCATAAACACCTTGGCAAAAATACTTCCAAAATACAAACTTTTCATATACTTAATATTACAGCAGAAGAGATAGCAAAAGTTAGCGTTATTTTGTAATTTCATTATTCAAATCTGCATAGTGCACATGTTTAATACCTCAACTTGTGTTGGTTGTATTTTAATTCTATTTTGTTGTGAAGATTTATGTTGTTGCTTGCCCACCGCAGTGCTTGTGACATGGTTTATTGATTAAAGTAAAACTTTGACTGACATTTAGATTACTATGTCTAACACGAAGTGGCACAAAGACAAGATACCAAAAACTGTACGCCAGTACCTAAAAGAAAAACCTCTGGAAGCAGAGATAAAATTTTATACCAATTTACCTGATCTTGCAGAACACAAACACCACAAAGTAAAGGTAAAAGCTGATATTACAATGAACATAAAATAATAACCACAAAAAGAGAACATTTAACTTTTTTTGGCAATACTTTTTGATGTTCCTGATTATTTCTTTACTTTTTGAGCTCAATTGCCACTCCATTAAATCATGATATGAATTAAAATAGCCATAACTCAGCAACCACTTTTTCAGAATGCTCTCAAATTTTAAAATTAGAGTATTTAAATAAATGTTCTTTCCACTGAAGAAAAACTGTTTTCATGTTTAATAAATATTCTTTTTAACAAAATAATTAATATTTTGTTTTCACATTCTATAGCCCAGAAATATTAGTCATGGATTCGATAAATCAGGGACGTCAAGGACAACTAATAATATTTAGAGAAACGGCGATCAAATACCTCAAAAGGTTAGATATATTCACTCTATCACTAACAATGACCAACTTGYTATTACAGTATGCTAGCTAGAATCATAGTTTAGTTAGTAACTATGCTAGAATTAATTAATTAATTAATTAAAAATCACAGCAGAAGAGATAGTAAAAGTTTTTTTATTTATTTTAAGCTGATGATGTTCATGTTAGCAATGATGGTGACGATGATGAAATACCAATGCCAATGGTACTGAATGTTGATCAAGAATGGAGGAGAACCTTTGCAGGTCTTATGATAGCTGATGAGCTAT